AATGGAAAAAGAAAGAAGATGGCTGGAAATACTGCGCATTTGGAATTTGCAGACTTGCCAAATTTTTACGCAATGGTATTGTAGTTGAATTCGAATTTATTTTCATCTTGGCTTATTTCGGCACGGTTCAGTTAGCTTTTTGAAACTAGTTAAGATGCTCTGCTAACGTAATTTTATTCTTGAATTCTGCGTCAAAGTACTTGCATTGAAGTCTTTTCTCGTCAAATTCTTCTAAAAAAAATGGAAGAGAATGTAGTAAGCACACTTTTCAATTTTTAATAAAATACACACCTTTACCACAAAAGTCGGTCAATTAATAAATTCTTTCCTGAATCTGTTTTCCTTGAGAAACTGATTTTGGTCAAAAAATTTTCAGTTTTGTTACATCAAAAAAATCTAAGCTACTTAATTCTACTCAAAAGGAATAAAGTAAACTGTTAGCTTGTATGCGAGGGCGGCAGTGAGGCGAATAATTCTATAATTATTATAAAGTAACTAATGCATTTATATAATGAAATTAAACTACACAAGTCTAGACAGATAGGTATCTTGGCATTCTAAGCGATAACGCAGTCTGTTCAGATGGAAGAATTGGACCGAGCTTTTTTAAACAACCGCATAGAGGTAGCGCGTTCAGAAGACATAACTTTAAGAGAGAGTGATGTTCTTCTGCAAGGCGAAAAACAATTTTCAGACCCTGTGGCAGATTTTGGGGAGAATAGTACTTTGTAAGTTGGGAACTGCTAATTTTTTTGAACATAGTTTACAGTTTTTTGGTAACTTCTCACTAAAGATAAGGTTTGTGCGATAGTGCATTTTTTTCCAAGGATGAGTAATTGGTCACTTGTGGGTACATTATTAAATATGTTTGCTCTTCATGCAGTGGCAATTTTTAATAGCACCCAAGATTCTTCTTTTTTTTCATTGTAATGACTGCTAAATGTCTAAAAGCGGTTCCTCGATCTTTATCTGGTGTTACTGAGGCACTTCTTCCACTAGTTGAAATTTTTTGTTGTTGTATTTGAAAACTGAGTTTCTCCCTTTCAAGCAGCATCTCAAGGTTTTGTACATGTTAGCCAAGATGCACCTCATTTACACCTCATTTAAATTTCTGAGTTTTTTACTTTTGAATTCAGTGTAAGAGAATCTGCTTACTTTCTTTAGAAGTTTTATTACCTTATCTTTGCCTGTACTATAGGATTTTTGCATTGACCCAATGTTTAAAATTATAGAAAGGAACAGCTTGTTTTGGAATATGGAGTGTCGACATTACTCCAAGAAAAATTGGACAACGCGGAAATTCTACTACAAAGTACTCCGCAACGTGTGGATGAAACTCTACGAGAATTTTCTAAAGAAAATCTAGAGCCAGTTGTAGACGTGATAAATGTCCCAATTGTGAGTCTTTGTTAAAGTGTAATGCAGCGAAGGCTAGGCAATAAATAACATGAACAAACGATATCAACTGCTTTTTAATATTTTTAATTGTAGGAAAAAAGACCGTCTCGAGCACCTGTTACAGTGTTATCCGGGTTGGAGAAAGAACTTTCGGAGGCCACTGAGAAGGGAACAAAGGTTAATAACATTATTTAAGGCTTATACATCTTTTAAATTCTTAATCTCTTTTGACTTTCATCTTTCTCACTTTCTGTAACAGCATTGTAGAGGTGCTGCTGTTAACGAGTATTGATTGGATGGATTGGTTGAATCTTTAAAGCTTCAAGTAGCTACCTTTGTTTTATTTTCTTAAAAAAGTATGACTAAGCGGATTAAACTCTTCTGCCGCACAAAAAACTTGGAACAAGTTGCGTTGTCACTGTGTTCTTTAATGAACTGAAAAAATGGATACTTTTATAGGAGCAGTCTAAGAGAAAGCGCAGGAAACGTGCACGACGACGGAGTGGTCCAGTTTCAGATGACATAACTACTATACCTTATGTTAGTTTTGTAGATTAAATGACTTTTGAAGTGCGCCGGAAAAACTTTTACAGGAGGAAATGAGAGGACGCTTAAGTAAACCAAATTTGCATACACGTCCAAGATCCTCTTTGTTTGATATTCGCGAACCAGAAGAATTTAGTGGCCTTTTGGAAAGGAAATTTGCCACTTCAATCGGTAAAACTAATTTTTGTACTTTGTTATTGTCATTTGAATGCCCCTTTTTCACCATTTTGTAGTTGCCAAACTTTTTAAATTTAATAGTTCTTTCAAGTTTCTGCAACTCAGAGCTAACTCATTTTTAAGCCAATCGGATTTTTGGTGAAGAATGCTTTCCTAAACCACGCCTTTTGAATCCAATATCATTCCAAGAAGCACTAGATTACGACAGCGTGTTCATAAAAGAATTTGGCCTCAACGCGTCTAATTCAGCAATTACAGAAGAAGCTGAGGCAGAACGTTGCCGTGGCAGCACATCAACGTTTCAGCACTCTGTTGTACGCTTTCTTGTCCTCCCTTCTGGATCACTGCATGCCAAATTTCATTTTTTTTTTTAGTTTAAAAAGAACTCAAAGTCTTTGTTG